GAAACTTGCCTCAGATAGAAATATCATTCGAACCAAAAACAAGGGCCAGTGTTTTTATGCTTTCATACCCAGGTAGTTGCTGCACATACTGCTCTGCAGCTGTAGCAGCAGCTCAGTTTGGAGAGAGGACTATAGGAATTCACTTGGCTGGCAGAACCATGGCCCTGGACACTGTAAAAGATGGGAAATAACTGAGAGGCAGGAAGCATGACCAGCAGATCGTCTAGGATTCATTGGGTTGCAAGTGACTGAAAAACATAATTCAGACAATAAGTGAAAGTTATGAAACTGAAAAGTCTAAGTATAGCTAGCTTCAACTGAAGTCTGATCTAGCTACTCAAGCAGTGTCTTCTAGGACCCAGCCCCTCGTGGCATCATAGGAAAACAAAGGAGGCAGTACTATAGTCCTAACAGTTCAAAAACTAAGAGAGAAGAGTCTTTTCCCTTAGCTCTCATTACCAGTTCTCTCATTTGTTCTCTCAATTTGGCCTCAAATTGCATCATGTGCTGCCTCTAACCACTCCCTACGGCCAGAAGAGTGGGATGTGCTGTTCACATGATCAGTTGAGGCTTGTCCCTGATGGTAGAGAGAGAACCAATCCCACACAAACCATATCTTTAAACATAAAGGAAGGGACACATTCCGCATAGGAATGTTAGAATTCTGTTGATAGAAAAGATAGGCTATAAGACGACAAGCATCAAACATAATCTGTATCTCTCAAACATTTTAAAAGTTTTTATTTATTTATTTCATAAGCAAAAGTAATAGAGACAGCACACCCAACAAGGTTTGACATGCAGACTACCCCCAGCTCAGCCAGCCCTAGATCATGGACATGTGTATGCCCAGCATACTGAGAGAGGTCTCCAGATACAAACCTGGAGCCTTCCCATAGGGGTCAGCCTCACAGAGCAACGTGTATTACCACTGCATCACTACCCGGTCCCCCTGAAACATTTCTTATGACAACTTAGGGCCCCTTTATTTTACAAGAGACTAGAGGGTATAGGTGCTAACAAGCAATCCAACTTTATTTCCTATAAATGCCAAATCAGTCTGAAACAACCACCACTTAGAAGGTCTGACAACAGCGTCTTTTATTAATCCTAGGTTCTTCAGGAGCTAATCCTTTCTGAACCCAAATATTTTAGCTTGTCACTGAAGAGTTATAGCAGCTTTTAAATACATAAGCCTTAGTGTCCTGGAATGTCACAGTGTGATAGGATTCAGCTATAGGCCCACTTCGATTTGAGCCAGAAAGAGCTGCTCTTTTGTCTCTAGAACTTCCCCTAGAAAGAGCCAAGCCTTGGGGTCAGCCAGGCAACATGTGGTCAATGTGGCTGGCTCCCACATGGCCGACTATATGGTTCAAGTCTCAGACCTAGCAGCTTGAGAAACGCACCAGGCATGTGTGCATGGGTGCCCAGAATCCCAAGAGAAAAATGAAGGAGAAAGGACTGTGGCATGGCCAGTCTCCTGGGTGGGGGTGTTTTCTCACTTTCTCTATCTCGCTCTCTCTCCCTGTTTCTCTCCAGCATGCATATGTAGCTTATAGTAAAGTTTTAAAAATAAATAAATAAGAAAGAGCCAGGCTAAAGGCCACTTGCCTACCTAGTGGGAAAGAACTCTGCCATGGGTGTGACAGGCAGCACTCTCATTGGTATCTCCCATCTGTCACTGGTACACAAATAGAAGTAATGATAGTGACGATAATATTTAGTACCATTGGATCATTTACTGTGTGCCAAGACAGTGTTCGAACCACTTTTCATAAATTCATTCATTTAGTCTTTTCTTTTTTTAGAATAGTTCATTTGTTTTTATTATTAGTTTTTATTGTTGTGTTATGTTTTTTAATTCGACCAGAGAGAGATGGTGAGAGAGACGAAGGGAAAGTGAGAAAGCAAGCCACTAGTCCCGGGACTCGAACTGTGATCGTCCTTATGAGAATCCAGCATTTTTAACCCTGCCACTTGCTGGCCCCAATTTGTTTAGTCTTTACAACAACCCCCTAAGTAAGGTACTAGGTTGTTAGTATTTTTGTAATTATCATTTCCCACTTGACAGATAAGAAACTGAGGCCCACAAAGGTGAGAAAACTTGCCCAAAATGCCACACCTCTGGAAAGCAGTAGCTCCAGGAGTCCAGAGAACACATTCCTAACCATCATGCTAAACCCTCCTTATTTCCCATCTTTGGAGACTGAGATCCAAGAAGGCTGAATGAGTGGTCTGAGAAAAAAAAAAAAGAAAAGAAAGAAAGAAAACCTAAAGGGGGACATGCTTTCAAGTAATTGTCTACCCTTTCATTTTGAAATCCAGTCTGGCATGATGCTGAATCAGACAATATAATTTTGAGTTGAGAGTATCTGTCCTGTCTTCTAAGGAAACGTGCTCCCTCAAACAGCGAGCTCTCTGCTGGGCTCTGTCACTATCATTTGGAAATTGGCAAGGAACACAGAGCGTTAAAGGAATAATTTTAAAGCAATCCTGAAATTTCTGAGGCTGGTTCTCTAGTGCAATACTTGAAGATGGAACCCACATGACCAACTGGTTCAAGTCTTGGCCCCAGTGGCTTGAAAAACACACTGGGCACATGTGCATGAGTGCCCCAAATCCAGATGGCATGGAAAAGGGGAGGAAAAAGGATGCAGTATGTCCTTACCCCATTGAAGGGTCCTTTCTCTTTCTAGCAAGCACATATACCCTCTGGCAGTTAAAAAAAAAAAGTTGAAATTTCCAAATTAAGACCCCGAAGAAACCCAGCCCAAGTTCTACTCCTAGCCCAGCTGGAGATAGTGAATATGTACAACTAGCTAACAGGGCCTGCACGAAAACGAGATGGTCGCCACACCAGCCGACCCTTTGATGAGAAGAACAATGGCAGAAAACCGTGGAATAGTTTTGCCCCAAAGAAAAGCCAGTGGGCTTGGGAAGCTCGTCCAACACAGCCTAAGCAAACCTCTGTAGCAGATTTTCCTGTTTTTAATACTTTCTCAAAGTGAGGAGGCAAAACCCGTTTGACAGGTGAAAAAGCATCTCTATTGACTTGTTACAAACCTTATGATATTCTAGGTGGATCGACACTTATCATAGCCCTTTAATCTGCCAGCTAGGATAATGTGTGCACGGATAATTTCTCCACTGTGAGATTGAAATGCTCAATTTGGAATAAGTTTCCCTGCCCCGTAAATTGAGCATTACTCTGATTCAGAGGCAGAGAGAAAGCACAATTTAAAAAGCTTTGCAGAGTTCCTTTGTAATTAGTCGCAGCTTCCATTGAATATTAATTTCCCCTTCAACCCTTTCAAGTGATTTAGAGACTGTCTCTCGAACTACAGAGATGCACCCACAGAACCACGGCAGCGAGCGGCATAGTCTCAAACACCTATTATTAAGTAGTCTGCAGAACGCACCCTTCTGTTCTTCAGTGCAGCGTGTGGCTTATCAGTGCAAACAGTTTAATATTTATGCTAAGAGGATTGTCAAAAGCAGCTTCTGTTGCTTTAATTCTTGTTTTAAATAAATAATGAGAACATTTAAACACATTACTCTTCTTGGGGCCCCGAGGTCAGCTAATCTTATTATTTATGAAGTGATGTGCTACATAATAGTACTTAGCGCATGTTAACAGACGCTATTATCAGGGCCTGACGCGGAAAGCTGAAGATATATTGGAATGTTATGTGTAATGTACGACGGATTGAGCGCATAGGATGCCGGTATAGCAATTAACCACACGCGAAAATAGGTGTAAAGTTGAAGTATGTTTTCCCGTGGGGAGTCCCTCACCATTAATAATTCCCCAGAGAAGAAGATGGCTTTCAGTTAGGAACCTTCTCTACCGTCAGCCTTCGGAACGGGACCCAGATATTTCCATCGTTGATCTCTTCAGAGGCAGTATATGCGGTCATAGGACAAATAGCGAGTATGACCACCTCGTAATTGATTTAGTGAAGATGCAGAGAAGACGGGGAGGAGGGGCCGAGGCACCTCCAGCAAGCGCACTCGCTGTGTGTTCAGGGCACACACGTCGACGGCCACACAATCCCGCAAAGGCGAGAAACTGTGCATTCCTTATTGCGAGTTGTTTCCTTCGCTCTGATCCTCATTTTTCAGATAAATAAAGCTAATGCCACCAAGCGTTCCCAGACCAATTTTAAATAAGCTGATCTCTCGGAGAGACAGATGCCTGCCGAGGTGTGAGGATGTCGCCCCAACTTCTTCCTATGAGGTTATAATTTAGCTGCATATGATAATTAATTTCTTTGCTATTGATGAATAATCCATTTAATAAAAAGCGTGATTTAAGTGTTTTCCTTAGGGACTCACTCTTGCTAGCCTCTTAATTTAATTTGGTGGAAGTTTTCCCCACCTAGTCATCAGCGGAAATGATTATTAACCTCTATTTGCATATATCCTTATAAATCGGTCTCTCCTTGGAGTGCCTTTTTCTGAGCACAGCAAGCTGGGACACTTGTAAATCTCCAGGATCTCCAAAGTCAATCCCAGTCTGTAATATTGTTTAATCTATTCTTGGACGTTTTAATGCAGTAAATTCAATTTAATCTTTCCCAGTAATCTAGTAATACATCGAAATCCCACAAACATTTAAATCTGATAATGGCTTAATCACACACTTTAAATAACAGTTGAGATAATGAAAAAATAATTCACCATTTTAAAGGCAGAGTGACTGAATTTCCCTGATGATTGGCTTTTGCAAAGCCACTTGAGACAATACAAATCTGGGAACAAAAAAAAAGAAAAAAGAAAAGAAAAAGAAAAAGAAGTCCCAGCACCATAAAGAATCATTTTTTTCTTCTTATAGACATCTGCTTTCTGCCTTGCAAACTCGTTCTTTGTTATCGTCACCCCGACCTTCACCACAGAGGATTATTTTTGGACTATTTGCCAATGTTTTTTCAAGTCTGCATGACTGTGGATCTTCTGGCATTTCTTCCCGTAGAATTAATCGCCTATTTTTACTCTTCCAGGTGCCAGTCCCGAATTGCTCGAACTTTACCTGGGGACCAGAAACCAGAATGTCGGCCATATTGGGAAAAAGATGATCCTTCAATGCCTCTGCCATTTGATCTTACAGACATCGTTTCAGAACTCAGAGGTCTGCTTCTGGAAGCAAAACCCTAGAAGGAGCACAAGTCTTAGGTGGAGGAGAAAAAGATCTTGTTGGCTTTCTCCCACAACCTTGTCATGGGCTTTGGCAATGGCAATGTAGAATCTTTTGGCCCTTAGAATGTAGAACCTGAGTCCCAGCTCGAACCAGCCAGAGAATGGAAACCACAAGTGTTAAAATGCTGAAAAACCACAGTGTTTGAGTCTGATTTGGTAATTACACAAGAACTTTTCCCCATAAAACTGTTCCTCACTTGGATTTTTTAATGTGAGCTCTTCAGGCCCTAGGGGCCAAGGGATGAACCCAGTCTGTGACAAAGTCAACCATACTTGCCTCCTTCCCAAGTCTTTTCAGAGACTGTAGAGTGGACCCAGTCATCTGGGGAAAGATGTCCCTCCTCATTTCTCACTGCACCCTCCAAAGGCTGTGCTGTCCAACATGTTAGCCACTAGCTAGCTAGCTGTAGCTACTTAATTTAGTTTTTTTTTTAAGGTAGGGTCTTGCCATGTTGGATCCTCCTGCCTCAGCCTCTCAACTGGATGTGAGTCACAAAAGATGTACACCACCATGGGACCAGCAGTTAGCGTAATGGCTATGTCCTGGCCTCCCATGTAGTCGACCGCGGTTCACGTCCCAGACCTGGTGACTTAAAACTCACACCGGGTGTGTGTGCGTGCGTGCCCAAGATCCCAAGAGGAGAATGGAGGAGAAGGGATTACAGCATGGCCATCCCCCCTGGGGGTGATTTCTCGCTTTCTGTCTCTCTGTCTCTCTCTGTCTGTCTGGCGAGCCCATGCACCCTATAGCAAAAACCGTCCCCCCACAAAAAAAAAGATGTACACCACCTCTCTCACCATGTTGCCCAGGCCAGCCTTGAGTTTAGATCCACTTGCCTGAGCTTCCCCAAGTGGCTGGGATTATAGGCACCCGCCAATGAGCTTGGCCTTTATGTTACACCAGGAATGAAACCCAGGCCTCCCATGTAGTCCTAGCCAGCAGAGCACAGCATCTTAGCAACATGTGCCACTGTGGCCAGGCTGAATGTGTCATCTTTATTTTAATTAAAAATTTAGTTTTCCAGTTGATCCCCCCCCATGACCACCACCAGCCACATTGTGGTATTTAATAGCCACACATAACTAGTGACCACTGCGTTGAGCAGAACATTTTTGTTATTGTAGAAAGTTCTGTTGGACAGAAGATCTATAAAAAGTTTTGAAAGCAGGAGTTTTCTTTGCCAGTTTTCTGTAGCCTCTGTCTTCATAGGAGAAAGATACTAAAAGAGACATGGGGCCAGCTCTGTGGCCTGGTGGTTACCTACCACACGGCTGACCACATAGTTCATGTCCCAGACCCAGCAGCTTGAAAAACACATGGGGTGTATGCGTATGTGTGTTTCCAGAAACCCCAAAAGGAAGGAGAAATGGAGAAGGGATTGCAGCATGACCATTCCCCATGGAGGGGCGGTTCTTTCTCCTCTCCCTCTCTCTGTATCTCTGGCAAGTGCACATGCCGTCTAACAGAGTGAGAGAAAGAGAAAGGAGAGAGAATCTGACTCATCGGAGAGTAGTCCTTTTCTTCTCAAAGACACACACAGTAAAAAGCCTGAGTTACGAGTCCTATGCTCCGCACACATTTCGAATCAAGTTGATATCCCGTCTTCGGGGAGTTTCCCTATCTAATGAGAGAGACACGGTCCCATTTATGTTGCTTCATGGAGTCAACCAGCCTAGTGCAGTTTTTTCTGCATTTCTTCCATTGTAATGACAGGTGGCACTGAGGCCTGAAGAACCCCAGTGCCCCATCCTAACGATCTGGAGCACCCGAGAGACAATGGAAAGGACAGGTCAAACCTGGGCCCTGGCTTCAAAGTGCCTGGATTAAAACTCTCACTAGCTTCATGACCTTTGGCACAATCTTAGCCTCAGTTTTCTCATGGGTGTGATGGGAATATACAGAGGGCACCAACTCCGAAGGTAGAGAGTAAGTGGGGTAATCTAGCTACAGCCTCAGAAGAGCTGTTGGCATGTAGTTACATACCCAGTAAATATTAGTGTTATTCTAATACGTGTCAGGAAGTGGACCTGGATGTAAGCATTTCCCTTTCCCTTCCTCCGTCTTCATTGCCAGTTTTGTCTCGCGATGCCATTAATGTGTCTCTTCCCCTCTGACGTGGCTCCCGTCCTTTGCTGTCGCTTAGAATCATGAGAACAGAAGCCCCACTCCCCACCTTGTCACCCTGTCATAGTGGTTCACAGTCGCTGAGAAGCTGAGGCGCTGTCGCCCACTGAGGGGTGCACTGAGAATGAACGCTCTCCTGCCGTCAGAATCGCATTGGCTCAAGGAGTACGTTCTTCCCCACGGAGCGAATGGCCACAGCAAGGTTTCCTCACACAAAGCAGCCAGGCTTGTATTGTCAGGCTTCTGGCTCAAATTGCCTGAGGTCTTTGAGCCTCGATTTCCTTATCAGTAAAAATGAGATGCACTGCCTCGCGGGGTTGTTCTAGAGATCAAATGAAATCAGGTAGGGGAGGAGCTTGCGGGACATGGAAGTCTCAGACTGGGCATCCTTGGGCCTTCCAGCCCAGTGTTTTATTTAGCCCCCACGATGTTCATTCTCTTCTATTTTATTAGATGCCAATATGTTAAAATTGGGAGATTTTACATAGAGCAAAGACATCTGCATTCTCTTTAGAATCCAGAACTCCGGGCAGCCCCGGGCCTCTGTCGTAGCATGGCAGCCAGCTAAGTAGTGTCTTCCCGCCCAGAGGCAGGTGTGATCCTCCTATGGTTTGCCATAGGCACTGTGGCTCCCTCGTGCCACTGACTGTAAACCTGCCTGCTCACACCCCTGTCGTAGAAATAAATACTATTTAGTGCTCACCCCCATTCGTGTGTGTTACTATTGAACTGTATCCATGGACTGCTTGTACTGATATGTCCTGTGCTTCATAAAATACTCACATTCAATAAAAATATTCAAAGGTTGAGATAAGCCACCCGAGGTTCTGCTTTTTCCTCCTTGCACACCAGAGGATGGCTGCTTCGCTACCTGGGTGGGGTGTAGGCGGAGCCTGGTGAGGTCCAAGGGGGTTGGAGAAACCGCCACCTTATGAGTCACATTTTCTCAGATGAAGTGGTAGCTTTCAGGGGGTACTGGCTCCATGTGTTTGCGGATTACATATGCTCTCTGGGGGCATCGGGTGGGCAGGACGAGGGAGGCCAGAGAACTTAAGAAGGCAGCATGTGGGGTCACTGACATCAGCTTATGTTGCAGGGCTAAGAGGAGGCCTGTTTCTCTCTGTGAGCTGGGAAAGGACTTTCCTGGGAACAGAGGCCCAGAGAGACACCTGCCCCATGTGTATGGAAGAGGGAGCAGACAGCCTAGGTAGGCCCTGTACCACCTTGTATGAGCAGCAGTCCCCGCCTCTTCCCTGCAAGCTTCTTGTTGGTCCTCAACCTCTGGCTTTTTAAATTGTCTTTTTTTTTAATTAATTCTTATTTTATCAATTTAAATCTTAATTTTTTTTTTTTGGAGAGTTTTTGCTATAGGGCACATGAGCTTGCCAGAAAGACACAGAGAGAGAGAGAGAGACAAAAAGCGAGAAATCACCCCCTGGGGGGGATGGCAGCATGGTAATCCCTTCTCCTCCATTCTCCTCTCAGGATCTTGGGCACGCATGCACATGCGCCCAGCGTGAGTTTAAGCTACTGGGTCCAGGGCTCGAACTGCAGTCAACTACATGGGAGTCCAACTACACAGCCATTACGCCAACTGCTGGTCCCAAATCTGAACATTTTTGAACGTTGCATATCTGAGCATATAAAACAAAAGTATCAGTTTGTAGTCATGACTTTTTTTTCAGCTGTAATTAGGGTTTACTTATCTTATTATTTTTCTAATTTAATTTTATTTTAATTTCTTTTATACATTCAATTACTATACATCACTTAGCTTGTAAAGTGAATTTTCCCCACATGAATATACTTCTCACCAACCCAGTTGAGGATACTGTATACATGTTATCATCAACAGATAATAATCCATCTCTGTGCCCCATAAAGACATTAAAGAGAAAAATAGAGAGGCAAGACATTTATGGGACATAAATTGTGATTTCTTACTTCTATGTAATAGTCGTACATATTTATGGGATACAACATGGAAAAAAGTGATCTAAGAGATCCCTTTGCCCCCCCCCCAAGTGTTACTTCCTGTCCTTCCTCCCTTTTTCTGCCCACAGAACTTTTTTTTTTGGAGAGATTTTTGCTATAGGGCGTGTGCACTCACCAGACAGATAGAGACAGAGAGACAGAAAGCGAGAAATCACCCCCTAGGGGGGATGGCCACGCCGCAATCCCTTCTCCTCCATTCTCCTCTTGGGATCTTGGGCGCACATGCACACACGCCCAGCGTGAGTTTTAAGCCACCGGGTCCGGGATGCGAACCACGGTCGACTACATGGGAGTCCAGCCACATTGCCAATATGCTAACTGCTGGTCCCACTAGACCACATTCTTTTTGTAACCGCATAGGAAGCTTGAGACAGGAAGGAAGAAAGATGATTGGTTTTGCAAATGTGTCTATTTCCTTGGAAGATGCACTGACTGATGGTACTTTTTTCTGGTTGAGTGTAACTTGACCAGAGAGAAAGAAAGAGGAAGAGAGAGAAAGTGAAAAAGCAAACTGCCAGGTCCAGGACTCAAACAGAGGTCGGCCACCTGGGCGTCCAGCACCCTTAACCACCATGCCACCTGCCTGCCCCCTATTTATTATTATTTTTTAATTTGTTATAGGGCACTTGTGCTCACCAGAGGGAGACAGAGAGAGAGAAAGAGGAAGGGACAGTGAGAAAGCAAGCTGCCGAGTCCAGGACTCGAACTGTGGTCAGCCACCTGCTGGTCCCATAACTTGGTATTTTAACTTCAGATGATATCTCTGGCCACTATTAGATTGCAGAAGGTGTCAAAGAGAGCAAGAGCAGGTGGCTCAACCCAATGGAGAGGCCTTCCTACTGGGAATTTCCCAGCTCGGGGAGCTGGAGCCCTCTAGCCACCTGCTGTTTGCAGACCTCACTGAGCAGCACTGTGCACCACGCGGCTCTCGTTCCTCCTGCTGTCAAGGGCAGCCTCCAGCCCAGGAGCGTTTTCTAGACATAAAAGAAAAGAGCAAGGTCATGGCACCTCTTGTGACACAAGTTTAGTAATAAGCTTCGAAATCCATCACTAACTCAATCAAGGG